ACCTTTCAGGGGGAGGCATATACTTCCCTACTCACTCATGGTCCTGTGCCATGCCCTGTCCAGTGATAACCAAGTGGCTGGGATGCAAGCAGAGACTTTATATGTGCTCTGGCATGATATGTCTGCCACCAACACGATAAGAAATAATATGGGTAGCAGGCACCTCAACCTGGGACTCAAAATAAAACACATGGACCAAAGCCACCCCCATCTTCTAACGGGCAAGCAAGAGAGAAATGAAAGCTTACTGGTGCATGTCATATACCTGCTGACTATGAGGAAATAGCTGACCGAGGCGAGACTGACTTATTAACTGTAAAACTTTGTAGACTTCATTGCTTCATCTACCAAAAGCAGATTGAGTATACCCTCTCTCTCAGTGTTTCTCTCTCTCTCTCTTTCTCTCTCTCTCTCTCTCTCTCTCTCTCTCTCTGTTGTAATGAAGATTAAGTAACATAATAAATACAAAAATCCTGACATAGCACCTGGCACAACACAGATGCATGTTAAAAGTTAATTAACATCTTCTGATCCCTCTCTTTTACTGTTGATAGCCAATAAGGACTCGCTAGTGTTAGTTCTGAGTCAGCCCTGCCAGAGAGAAGGAATGGGTCCCTGTGTTGTTTCGGCCATTGCCCTCATAATTTCTACATAAGCCGGAGCAATGTAATTTCTCGGATTTCTTGAAAAACAACTGGAGTCTGAGAAGGCAGCAGATCCCATCCTGTTGTTTCTTTGTGGGAGCCACTATCTTTAGAAATATAAGCCTATTTCAGCAGGGCACCTCTGACACTGTGGGTCCCTTGAGAAATAACTGCCTTTGGTTTATGACGAGCAGAATGCTTGCGCATGTGCACACAGCACACCGCGCACACTGCCCTTCGTCATCCCAGGCTTTTGTTCATCAAAATAATAGCAAGTCATGGCATAAAGCCATTCGCTGAGAAATAATTCATTACAAATAGAATCATCCAAGTGCCAGTTCTTCAACCCAGAATGACCTTCAAAGTGATGGCCCCCAAGACCCAACTGAAGCAGTCAGCAGCGGTAACACAGCGTCAACTCCAACAATGCTCACTGCCTGACCGGGCAGTCGCTGACTCTGGTGGAGGATCCTTTTTGAGCCTTTACTTTCTCCAGCTGACCTTTAATCCTTCCAAGCAGGACGCAAACAGGTCCACCAGTCAAGAGAATTTATTTGAGGCTCTGGTGATGGGATGGATGACACCTTGCTAAATGCCCACACCTCTGTAGACAAAGCAAGAAGTCCAAGAAAGGCCACGAAAGTGCTTTTGTATAGATCTAGGGCAACTAGGCTATGGGAACATTTAATCAAGTATTAAAAGAAAAGTCTTATTACAGACCTAAAATCCTGTTTGCAGAAATAGCACTTATGGCCAGGTTGTGGTAGTGCATGCCTTTAACCCCAGCACTTGGGAAGCAGAGGCAGGCAGAGGGGCCGGCCTGGTCTACAAGAGCTAGTTCCAGGATAGGCTACAAAACTGCAGAGAAACCATGTCTCAAAAACAACAAAAAGAAAGAGAGAAGAAGAAGAAGAAAAGAAAAAGAAGGAAGGAAGGAAGGAAGGAAGGAAACAAAGAAACAAAGAAACAAAGAAAGAAAAGCACATATGCACGTCCATTTTCATTATTTTCTTAGCCCCACACAGAATGGCAAGAAATGGATTTTGGAATTTACTTAAGGATTTTCTTCCTAAAATTTCTCATTAAGGCCAAGATATCAAGAAGACTATTTCTGGCTTGACTCCATATGGGATGCCACGAGGATAGCCATTGTCCTTGGTGCTTTCCATAAAAGCGTTTGGTCTCAGCTAGGAAATGCAGAAGACATGATGTCCCCAGTGTCCCCAGTGCACAGAGATCAGACTGCCCAGGAGTTTCACGTGATGACCATCTGAGAGAGAACAGTTTTTTCTGAGGTTGAACACAGAGAGGGCCAGAGTCCTGGGTCTTCTTCCCACGATGTCACAGTGGCTTCATGGCTTAACCTCTTTCCCTAGGATCGCTGCACAAATTTACCTTTTCCCTTAATTGTGCTCTCTGTTCTAAATGCCCTAAGAGGGTGCTGAATCTCCTCAAAACATTTTTTAGATAAAGAACAGAAAATGAGACATCCTTATCTTCCACTTTTTATTGGAAAGTTTGGACTGGGAGAAGTAAGAAGAAAAGTGCGAATTTGTATCTCTGGCCCTGCCACAAATGAATTCTTTTAGAATTTCTGTAACACTCGAAGCCATTAAAGGAAAGAAAAAGCAGGTAACAGAGAAAAGAAATCCTGGAGACAGAGCCTGTCTCCTTCACAGAGCACAAGGATTGCCTTAGACTGTTTTTCAGAACCTAAGAGTCTGTGGCAAAAATTTGTGTACATAATTTCATAGGAAGCCCAGTCTCAGAGAGCCAGAAAAGGGGGTAAGAAAGAACAAGGAAGGGGAGGAGCTTATGTGAGACAATACTGAACTGACTGCCTCAAAACTGTGGGCTGTGCTTTAAAAGGCTATATAATCTCCATCCCAGGATAATACATGTTAAATGTTAGAGAGATGCATCTCCCTATTCTCCATCCCTCACTGATCAAACTCACCGTGGAGAGTCAAGCGTGTCCTCCTGAATTTAGTAAATTGAAACCCTAATCACCAATGGGATAGAATTATGAGGTAGGGCCTTTGGAAAGTGTTAAAGTCGGAGGTCAGAGTTTTTACAAATGGGATTAGGGTCTTGAAGACAGGCCTTGGAGAGCTGCTTTTCCTCTCTCCTGTGGGAACATAGCAAGAAGGTGTCATCACCAAGTAAGATATGGACCGTCACTGAATACTGGATCCACCGGCACCTTGAACTTGGATTTCTCAGCCTCCAGGATTGTAAAGAAATGAGTTGCTTTTGTTTATAAGCCACTGGTTCTATGGCACTCAGTATTGCCAGCCCGCTGGAGATTACACTGAGTAGTTTCCCCTTGAGTGCCCTGGGTGCAAAGTGCAGAACTGCCGTCATCTCTAACTTGATGTCAACTAAGAAGCCATGGGCTGGGACCCAGAAGCTCTCAGTGTCGCCTATGTGAGGATTATTGGAATTCACTGAACAGATCATCCCAGGAACATCTGGAATGAAGCACACATGGAGCTAGAAGCAACTCAAGCCACTCCACACAATGTAGATCTGTGTAAGGTACACTGAAAGGAACAGGCAGAAAAATCTGCCTATAAATGGCACCTAGCATCCTGGCAGGTCTGTAGACAGTCATAAAAATTTATAAATAAATAAGTAGTTTAAAAATAATAGTAAAGTCTTTTTAAAAGAGTGAAGTAATAATAATAAAAGACTAGCCACGAAGAGATGGGAAATACATAGGAAGTCTGGATCCCAAATGTTATTGGGTTGTCTTTGAAGTTTTTGATTTGCTGGGGAACAATAGCTCCTAAGAGACAATAGATTATAGAAAATGATACATTAAATCAGCTTAGATATTTTTAAAATGTCTTAATTTCAAAATGAAAGTCAAAAAACTATGCTGCCTTGGAGAAGAGGTTATGCCTTTGTGTCCACAGAAAATGAAAGGCTGCATATTCATTCAAGGCTTAATCAGGTTTGATCAGGGGAGACCCCCTGAAAACCCTGCCTACAGACATAAAGAACTAAGCTTAAAAATTTATGAGACAGGTGACATATATTTACTTGCTCAAACATGAAACAATAAATCATCTTTGGCTGGCTTGTGTGCAACACACAGTCCATACTTTGTTAATACTGATAAGAACATTACCTTTAAAAGTTCATGTGTTTTCAGAGCAAAGGGCAGACACCAATGAAAACAGGTGACCCAGGTGATCCAACCTCTCAGAATGTCTCTGTTACAATTTCCTCAGAGTTTTACATCCCAGACAGCAGGTTGAGTTGGTCCAGCCTTACAGACTTGTAGAAATAGGAGCGGAGGGCCGCTTCCCACCACCTGGCTAGCTTTACCCAAAATAATTATATGGAATCTGTATTTTTTTAAACACTGCCTAGCCCATTATATCTAGCTTCTTCTTAGCTAACTCTCATATTTTGATTAACCCATTTCTATTATTATGTGTATCACCATGAGGTGGTGGCTTACCGGGAAAGATTCTAGCCTACATCCGACTCGGGTTGAAGAATCATGGCGTCTAACTCACTTCCCTTCTTCACAGCATTCTGTTCTGTCTTCCCTGCCTACCTATGTTCTGACCTATCAGGCCAAGCAGTTTTCTTTATTAATTAACCAATGAAAGCAACAGATATATAGAAGACCCACCGACAGTACAGACTACTCTAGCCAGAACTTTAACTAAGCCTTATGTTATACCATCACACCAAGACTACTGGACAACCGCTAGCTCCCCTAGGACATAACTATTATCTTATTTTTTTCAGGGTTTGCTAAAGATGGTAATGCTTGCATTCAGACTATAGGTAGGTAGATGATAGATAGATAGATAGATAGATAGATAGATAGATAGATAGGAAAGGGGGAGAGATATATGTTATATAATATAACATATTATATATATTCTACCAGCAATTTTTAATTGCCTGTAGCTCTTCATCAACAGTGGGATCTTGGAATATTTCCCTCCATCTACTCAAAATATCAACTGGCCTTATACTTGTTTAGATCTTGTTTAGGCCACCATATTGATGAGATTTCATGGATGTAGCTTCCCAGTTATATCTAGAAGAACACAACTCTCACAGATTCCCTGATCCTCTGGTTTTTACGATCTTTCCTTCCCCTTTTCTCCAAGCTCGGCTGAATCTTAGACGTAGGAGTTGTGTTGAGGATGTGTAAACTGGGGCTGATCACCTCACAACCAGTATTTTAAAATACGTGTGAAGTTTGTTAAATTCCTTGAAAGTTGGCGTTGAACTTTTTAATCTTTAATCATCCCAACTCTTTGCGTGGATTTAACTGTTTAGATCTAAGCAAAAAACATTCAGATCAAGAACTGGAAGGTAGACGTGACCGAGGCTTTCGGTGAAGCAGGAAGCGTTTTGCTGCGGGGTCTAGGACCGGGTCGGATAGCGGGCGGAATGGAGGCGACTTTGGAACAGCATTTGGAGGACACAATGAAGAATCCATCCATTGTTGGAGTCCTGTGCACAGACTCACAAGGACTTAATCTGGGCTGTCGTGGTACCCTGTCAGATGAGCATGCCGGAGTGATATCTGTTCTAGCTCAGCAAGCATCTAAGCTAACCTCTGACCCCACTGATATTCCTGTGGTCTGTTTAGAATCAGATAATGGGAACATTATGATCCAGAAGCACGATGGCATCACAGTGGCAGTGCACAAAATGGCCTCGTGACATCTCGTGTTCTCCAACCACCCAACACGGGTTCAGTCCTAACCGTGTTAACTTGTAAAAACTAGTAAAGTTCCAGAAGTCAGGCCATTCACCCAATGTCCCATGTGGACTTTTCTTATTTATGACAACCCATTTCCAAGATATCAGTTTAGAAAGGATCGTAGTTTTGTTTGGGCTTTTGTCATCTTGCTCTTTGGGGACAGTTGCTGCAGTCCAGTAGTGCAGCCCAACATTGAAAGAACTGGTCTCAAACGTGTGGTCCTCCTGCTTCAAAGTCCTCATCCTAGGAATAGGCATTTGTCACCAAGGTCCAGGTCCCTTTGTATATAGAACTTTGCTGTGGTCAATAAATTGGTTCAGAGGAAAAAAAAAAAAAAGAACTGGAAGGTAGTCAGCTCAGCCTGATTAAGTTACCAGTCAAACAGAGATGTCAGTATAAAAAAGGAGGAAAATCTCATGGGCTCTCCTTGAAAGATGCAGAAATTACTAAGCGGGTGCAAACCTTTTCAATGTGGAGTTTTCTGGCACTTTCTGAGTCTCCCCTCTCTTTAGTGAGTGAGGGGTATTCTTCTGCAAAAGCCAACAGGGGACAAGCTTGACTACTAGCTCAATCATCATCTCTCTTCCCCAGAAATAAACGGGATTTCTCCTTGCTCAAAAAAGTGTACAAGCATCTTTGCTATTGCTTTCTAAATGGAGACTAGCACCCACTGGAAAGTCCAGGGGACAATTGTCTTTAAGAAATTTTAACAAAGCTGACTGACCACCCTCCCCCATAAAACTCTAAAACTTGAACTGAAAAACTATGTTAGGTTTTAAAACAATGTTCTGATCAATCCAGTGTTTGTTTTATTTAGTTTTGTTTTTTCAACCAAAATCAGCATACATGTCAAACAGTATGCCTGAGAATATGCAAGATTTCATGTTCCCATTCTGTGTATGAGGGAACTGAATCTTAGCTGGGGTCACTCCATGAATTAGTGACTGTGGATGGTCTATAAAGCCAGAGTTTTTCCCCCTGCACCTTTCCCAGAAGAGACATTAAGATAATTTGAACAATTTTTCACTATTTCCTCCTTGGTCATATGGAGTAAGCTCTCTCTATATAGCAAACCAGCTCTGCCTTGAAGTCTACAAATTATTTCCTTGCTCACCAAGCCAAAAAGAAATTGTTCCATCAAAAACTACGGCTCATCAATATTTATTCAGGCACCCAGACTCAGAGCCCCAGCTCAGACTTGATTCCACCTCCACTCCAGCAGCTGCACTGAGACTGGATTCTATTTGAACAGGGATTTTCTTTTTTCCTCTTTCATGAAGAACTCTGTTCCACAGACTGGGTTACTTCTTTGTCGGAGATTAGCATCTGTCCGAGTATGGTCCTCTTTTAGGTTAATAGGACATTGAGCACCTTTTGTGCCAATGCAGAAATATAACTCAACATTAGTGTTACAGTTTGAATTGTGTCCGCTAAGATTCATGTGTTGTTGTCTCAACATCTAGTCCCCCATTATATGACCTTACCTGAAAGTCAGATCAATATGAATGGAAAATTAAGGTTAAGTTAATAAGATCTTTAAGGTTTGTCATAGCCTAGTAATTATCTCAGGATCTGTCTTAGTTGCTTTTCCATTTCTATAAAGAGACACCATGACCAGGGCAACTTAGAGAAGAAAGCATTTAATTGAGGACTGGCTTACAGTTTCAGAGCGTGAGTCCATGACCATGGTGACAAGGAGACCATATGGGAGCAGGTGGACCATATGGTGTCAGGTAGGCATGGTGCTTGGAGCAATAGCTGAATGCTTCCACCTGATCCACAAGCAGAAGCAGAGAAAGCTAGTAAGACTGGGCCTGGTATGAGATTTGGAAACATCAAAGCCCACCCCAGTAACACACCTCCTTCAACAAGGCCATGCTTCCTAATCCTTTTCAAACAACTCCACCAATCAGGGACCAAGTCAGCAAACATATGCGCTTATGGCGGCCATTCTCTTTCAAACCACCACAGGGTCTGCCCTGATAGCAAGTGGGAATGAACACAAAGGTAGTCAAACATAGACAGAAGCTGTGATTTAAAAATAGGTAGATGGATAGATAGATAGATAGATAGATAGATAGATAGATAGGTAAGGAAAGCCAACAGCTGACCCCTTCTGTTAGCTTCATGGGAACCAATCTTGGTTTAGAATTTACAGCCTTCAAAACTCTAAGACAATAAAGCTCTGTTGCTTAAGCCACTGAGTCTGTGGTGCTTTTATAGGCAAAACCCTAAAAAACTAATACCAGACGTAGAATATTTCCCAGGAATCTCCTTCCCGGTCAATGCTCCTGACTTCTCTTCAAAATTAACATGTCCCAATCTGCCACTGACCTGTTTTATCACCATTAAGAATTATTCTCTCTCTCTCTCTCTCTCTCTCTCTCTCTCTCTCTCTCTCTCTCACACACACACACACACACACACACACACACACGTTATTCAAATCTGTTTGGTTTTGAGTTGTACAGAAAGGTCTATAAGGGCATTGCAGGCTGTATTTTCTTCTGGATCTTGCTTTGCTGATTCAAAATTACTAACTGATTGATCCATCTGTGTATAGCTGTGGCTTGTTTCCTTTACTGCCAGTTGGCATTCCGTGGAATGAGGACACCACAGCTTTCTCACTAGGTGACCTCAAAGTGGCGTAGCAAATGCAACCCAGCTCAGGCTCCAATAAAACACTGCTCCATGGCCCAGAACCCAAAGCATTCTCTCTCCTCTGATAATGGTGCCACCTTCAGCCTTTGGAGATTTGGTTCAATGATTCTGTTCCATGGCATAGGCTCCTTATTTAAACTGATGAAGGCCAATGACAGAGCAGTGAATCCTGGGAAGGGGCAGATAGGAAGATAGTAGACACTGTGGAGAGGATACTAAAATCTCTCCCTGGCTTGCCTCTCAGAAAGGCTGAACTCTGTGGAGTAGCATCCCGCAGTGCCACACAGCAGCCCACATAACCACAGCTAAAGAATGACCCCCAGCTCTGTCCAACACTGTGGGCTGATAGAAATGGACTTAGGACTTTGAGCTAAACAGGTAATGAACTGAGGATTTTCTACGGAACTGAAAGTTAGGTTGAGAGTAAGAGTTGGGGACTGTGAACAGCCCATGTCCCCTCCTTGGTCTTAGTCCCTACTGTAGAAGATGGTTTTCCTCTGAAAAATTTCACATAACAGCACAAAACAATTGGAAAATATGACTTTTCTTAACCTTAAGACAAAAGAGCCTTGCATTCTGTGCAGCCATATGGACTTCAATAACTAGCAACGGTGACTAAGCTCTCCGGTACTCACTTTTGGATGGCCCTAGACTTGGCTGCATGACACCACGCTAGCCAATGAAAGCTGAGTCTGAGGGGATGGACAGAAAGCATTAGCTAATCTGAAGAGAGAGCACGCAGAGCTCCTCTCACAGCATGTCTCCCTCAGGCTAGTTTATAACTGATGGCCAGCCCTCTGCCAAAATTGGGGCAGGTAAGAAACCTGAGGCAGCAGGCCTGATATGCCAGGCCACTGAACTCCAAAAGCCTGCAGCTGCCTCTCCTCGGAATTCACAGTATGCAAGAAAAACTGACATCTCTACATTTCCATCAGTTTTCCTCAAGGCTCCTGTTACTTGCAGCCATAAACATTCTTGAGTGACAGAGCTGGTGGCGGGGACTTCCTGAGAAGCCAGTGGGAATGAGTCTGGGGACTACATGCTGGAACTCTGCTTGTGGAGGAGAAAGGATCTGAATATTCAGATCTGTAAATATAACGTGAACATCTTAACTCTTTAGGTAGGTAAATTGAGGCACAAAGAAGAAAAGTGTTTAGTCTGTGGTTTCCTAAATCTGGTAGGAAGTGCCTCATGGAAAGCGCTGGTCTGTGCATGCATTCTTATAGTGAGACAAGGCTGGGAAGGCTGAATAAAGTCCGCGGTCCCCAGTTCCCAGCTCTTCTTGGCCCCAGCCCACCTATCTTTTCACTGGGTCACCTGATCCCAATTTGACTCTTACTCAGACAAAGCATCTCCCGTGCCAAAAGTTACATACTGCTTCCATTGCTCTTTCTGCCGCGAAGCAGCAGTGACGTTCTTAGAGACTCCTATAGAATAACTTTAATTAAATGTTTCTTCAGTATTGGGGGAAACCCCTAAATGTTGGTAATGATGGAATGCGGAATGTGGTATCCTGTGCTTGCTTTTTCTTTCTTTTAGAAACACTGTTTACCCCACAAGCAAGCTCACACTCAGTGGGAACATATATTCTTGGAATGTAATCTGCTAGAAAAGATGACCAGAAATGACATATGGTACAAAATGATTTAATCACCAAGGGAACAAATATGGAATGCTTGGTTTTATCCAAAGGAGTGGGTAGTGGCATACCTTTCTCCCGGCATAGGGTACTGCTGTGTATTTGTCTAGTTCAGCTCCCATCGAGCAGTTTCAACACAGCTTCGTTCTGGGGTCTCTTTGCTTGGCTCCCAAAATACTGGAGCAAACTTCCCACTAGTAAATTGTCATAGCTAAAGAGATAGAGATCATGACTGCGTATAAAGCCCACATTAAAGTGTACATTACTGTTCTTGGATGTTGTTTCCCATAAATAACTATCCTGTAGCCATCAATTGTACCCCAAAGAAGACATTTTTACTTGGAATCCTGTTGCTAGTAGCGGTATTTGAAAGTGGAGTTCACAACAATGAGTTATGCCTCCACAATTTGGCAGTACTGAAATTGTAAAGGGCAGAGTCAAAGTTTGCACTGATCAACCAAACCTAGTTAGTATACATAAAGGCTCCTTAGACTCAGGATGTCTCCAAGCCAGGAAGACTAAACTATGGGAAGACCAGAGACAAAAATCACATCCTGAAGAATATCAATCAAGCAGAGAGATTCTGGAATGGAGGCACAGAGCAGAGGAGTCACAAAGGCAGATTTTGGATTGCCTAAACAGGCTTACCAGGAGAGAGGCATCTTATTCGGTCAACCTTTAATATCCAGGTTTTACTGGCATATTCTCAAATAAAGATAGAGACACTGTACTAATTCAAC